ATTCCATAAAATGGGTCAAGTTTGTTCAATCAAAAAAGTTTAAGGCCCAAGAGGTGACCCATGGACTTAGATATCCAAGACAAGTAGAAAAGCCCGTTTTTGCCCAACTCGAGAAGGCCTTAAGGCCTTATGGTGCAGAAGACATTCGGCCAAGGCAGGACACCCGCACGTGCAGCCCATGCGCATGTGCAAGATGCATAGCATGTGCACCAGTATGCACCCAAGAACGTGCACGCACGCATGCTGTACGCTTGCTTGCACAGCAGGTCGGGCATCCAGCTCGTGCCCAGCGAAAGGCCCATACACACGGACACCCAATCTGCTCACGGACAGGCCCAACAGGCCAGTATATGTAGACCACATACAGGCCCAATCCACGTTGGTAGCCCAACTGCGCAACTCATGCAACCCACACGCGTGACCCGTATGTCCACTTAGGGCCGACCAACTCGTGTGGCCCATGAGTGATCCACGTTGCCCAGCAGCACAACCCACGTGCCCCGTCTAAGACAACCCACACGTCTGTCCTAGCCGACCCGCATGCCCAATCCTTCTTGTCCACGAAGTAGAAGTTGAGTATCCATATTTTTGGACTCTTTTTTTTTACTAAAATACCATGTGTTTTTATCCTAAACTTCATGGGGTAAATTCTTACTTTTTTAACATTATTTTTATTGATATCTTAATACAAAATCTATCCCCTATGATTATTTAATTAATTGTTTGAATTTTAGATTGTGATATATTAATATTTTATTATTTTTTCTAGGATAGAATTTTTCAAAGTATTTGTATTTGTTTAGAACTATCTCAGGAAAAGTTTACGTAAAGGACTTTAACCATAGGTTGTAAACACATTTGAGAAAAATAAAATTTAACCTTTTTGCTTTCTTCAATAATTAACTTTGCTAATTTTTTTAATATCTTCAAATTCTTCAGAAGCCAAGGAGTTTTTAGAAATCTTGTTGAGTCAAGGAGCGAGAATTAACTTATCGGGTAAGTTCGTGGTATTTTTTCTTTTTTTATTTTAATTTTTTAGTTCTTGTTTATGCATGTCTTTGTTCTTAGTTCTCCTATTTAGTGGATATTAATTATTAGTTCTTCTGTTGTAAATATGAGCTCTATTCGGGTAATTGTTTGTTTGGCTGCTAGTTTAGATGTTGACCTTAAGTAGTTAGATGTGAAGACAACATTTGTTCATAGTAACTTGGAGGAAGAAATATAGATGGATCAACTAGAGGGATTTGAGGTCAAAGAGAAAGAACACATGGTTTGCATATTTCAAAAAGAGTTTATATGGGATGAAACAGTCTCTAAGACAGTG